CTCCTACCTCAAGCCCCACCCCCATCTCCTACCTACTAACCTCATCCCCGCCCCCTTGACCTGTCCGTCCTCCCTGGACTGACCTATCTCCTCTCTAACTCCCCACCTACACTCACCTTTACTGGCTCCATCCCCGCTTCTTTGACCTGTCTGTCTCCTCTCCACCTATCTTCTCCTCTATCCATCTTCTATCTGCCTCTCCCTCTCTCCCTATTTATTTCAGAACCCCCTTCCCCTCCCCCATTTCTGAAGAAGGGTCTAGGCCCGAAACGTCAGCCTTCCTGCTCCTCTGATGCTGCTTGGCCTGCTGTGTTCATCCAGTTCTACACCTTGGTATCGCTATTCATATACCTATCCAGATGCCTTTAAATGTTGCAATTGTATGCGCTTCCACCACTTCCTCTGGCAGCTCATTCCATATTCGCACCACCTTCTGCATGAAAAAGTTACCCCTCAGGTCCTTGTTAAATATTTCTCCTCTCACCATAAACCTTGCCCTCTAATTTTGGACTCGCCTACCCTGGGAAAAAGACCTTGTCTTTTCACCCCAGTCATGCTCCATGTGATTTTATAATCCTCTATCAAGGATCACTTCTCCTTTGTAATTACTTTAGCTCAACACCCAGAATTAGTTGGTCAGCAGTAGCTGGAGAATAAACTGTTCAAGTAAAAATTCACAGACTTTCATTCACCTAATAAAAATACATCAACCTAAAGTGTTAACATTTTATGGCTTGAGCACCTTCTCCCATGTCCTTATCCAAACCCCATATGCCAGGCCTTGTCATCACACAAATTGCTATCACAAACAACACATTGTCAGCCACTTATTGTCCCTATTAGCAGATATTCATTCTCCCAGGCTGACCTTTACCCATTCCTTTGTCTGCCCAACTATTTTTCTCTTCTCTGGGCTCCATCTCCATCCATTATTTACTCCTTTCCCCACCCCTTTAGAATATATTTACATGCAACCTATTCCCAGCTACAATCAGTTCCAAAGAACGCTCACTGGTCCAGAAAGGTAATTCTGCTTTCTCTCTATAGATGCTGCCAGACCTGTTGAGTTTTTCCAGCAATTTGTTTTTACTTTGAGAAACTGGGATTGTTCTCTTCAAAGCATCAAAGATTAAGATAATACAGTGTGGAGCTAGAGGAACACAGCAGGCCAGGAAGCATCAGAGGAGCAGGAAAGCTGACGTTTTGGGTCGGGACCCAAGATTAAGAGTTGTGAGCTCTTGCTGTATACCAGCAAAATCAATACGTCCTTGCCTACACAGCAACAGTCATTGCGTTTCAAAGTAACACAGGATATGGGAAGTGCATTGAGATATGTCAGATTGAATTACTTTATGAATAAAGGTTTCCTTTATACGGCAAATGTAATAGAATAATAGAATGTTACAGCACAGAAATAATCCATTGGAGTCTTCCAGTTTCTGGCAGTGATTCTTTTCCAAAGGGCCTCCTAACTAAATCCCAATTTCTTGCTGATGCCCAAATGATTAGGACAGGAAAGTTATAACTACTCTGTAGTTTATGTCAGTTTTATATGCTTTCCAACACAGGTTATTCTTCTCAAGGGGCTCCGTGAGGATGTAGTCTCCACATTACCAGACTCACATTTTGATGGTAACTTTGGCATCAGTCTTTTATCTCTGAAATTTTTAAATTGTTCTTTACGAATACCAGAAATTTATAAGTGGGTTTCTAAAGCCAGGAATCCATATAAATCACTAGGTCTATATGTTACACTCATATAAAACCATTACCGCAGCAAAGCATTTCAATGGAGTGTTATTGAAGAAAATTTGTCACTGAGCCAAATAATGAACTCTAAGAAATGGAGGATCAAAGGTTTGGCTATGGAGGTAGGTTTCAAGGAGGATCTTAAAGGAGAGCAGAGATTTTAGTGTTTTGGCCCTAAGGAGATGAACTCTTCATCAACAACAGAGGCTTATAAACACGGAAGAGGGTCAGAACTGTGGGACCATAAAGATGTCAGATAGCTGAAAGGAAAATTTAAGGAACTAAAATGGAAAATAAAATGGTTTGCACCTTGATGTCCCGGAATTTTTTGTGGTTATCTAATAACAAGCCTGAAGAGATTTAGTGATCAGAATATCATTACACTATTGACCATCATTTTATAGATACAAATTGTCTAATTTAGACAACCCCGGACCATTTTGTTTATAACATCTGCTTGGTCCATCAGATGGTTAGACTTCTAAATAAATCATAAACTGGGTGAAGTGGAATTGTAGTGGAGAGATTATGTTCAAAAATTCCCAAGGAATATCTTTCCAGTGATAGCTATCTGGTGTAAAAAAGCCACATCCCCTCCAAAGGCTCAATGAGTTTAAATTGTCCTGACTGGATGATTCTCAGAGTCAATCCTCTATCTGTGTTGAGTAAGCCAATTTATGAGAAGCCAGTTTGTCTCCCAGAGCCTGGTTTAGGTGGGTTAACGATTTGGCTATGATACTAGTTTCAACTGAATAGGCTTGTAAATGTCACCATTAGGAACACAAGAACACAGGACATAGGGGCAGGATCAGGGCATTCAGCCCTTCAAGCCTGCTGTACTACTAAATGAGATTGTGGATGATTTGGCTGTATCTCAATTCTACTTTACTGCCCACTCACCCCTATAGACCCAACACCCTTGTTTACCAAAAATCTAAATCAGCCTTGAATAAATTCAGTGAGCCAGCCTTCAGCACTTTCTAAGTAAGAGAATTCCACAAACTAAATTTTTCCAGCTCAACCATTCATCTGCACATGTTTTGCATACAGTTTCAATTGCAATCTGTCATTGATAATTTCCATCACAGCACCACTAAGTGGCAAACTCTTGATAGGTTAGTTGCTCTGGGACAGTGGCAGAACTGTTTGCTAAGTGTGTCTGTTTGGCCTCTAGTCCTTCTGTATACCCTTCATACCTTTGTATTCTAAATAATACTGTACTGTAAAAGTTATCTACACAGGTAGTGAACAAGCTCATATGGGTTAGATTAAAGGAGCCAATTTTAAGCACATGTGACAAATTAATCTGTGATTAAGAAAAGTTCTGAACTTTGTATAGTGATTTGAACTGTGTTGACAGTTTGATTTTTTTTGAGAAAATGCTGCTCACTTGACTACAAAATTAGCTGCAGTTGGAAATGTGTACTGCATGTAACAGTTGCAGAATGGTGGAACTGAAGTACTTCCGTCCATTCACTGCTACAGCATTTAGGTCACAAAGTGACCTATTGGCAGAGTAGAGAACAGCTACATGATTCATATTGGTTTAAGGAAAATGGGCTTTGAATGAATTAAAGTTCTGCCCCAAATGTCAACTGTAAATTTTAGTTTGAACTGCAGATCAGCCAAGATTCACCTTTGGTGGCTCTTTTGAGAAAGTAGAGGCCACTCACAATAACACACCACTAATATTCTTTCCAGATATGACTCTCAGGGAAATTCCTGTTGGAAAAGGAGCTGTCTCTCTGTCTCTCCCGTAACAACTTAAAGTTATTTTTGGTTATTTTGATACTTACATTCAAGCATAAAAAGTTGGCCTTGCAGTTTGAAGCTGAGAGATGACTTGCACCAAATGCTAAATGCAGAACTGGGGTTTTGTCTGGCATATAAGTATTTTCTATTTTAAATATGGTCTGCAGCTTTCTCTCTGCCTCCTCCCCACAACTTCACCAATTCTTTCTTTTTGAGGCACAAAATCTTGTCGAGACACAGGAATTCAGTCATCCTTTTGGCCGGGTCAAGGAGTCAAAAATAATTATATTTTCATCACTGAAACCCACACACATTCATTTTCCAACAGGTATCACAGGCTAATGATCAGATGCTGGAAATCCTGACTCAATTTTCTCACCTCCAGCCAGGTAGCACCAAGACCCAGTTCTATCACTGAACAACTAAGATCAGCAACCTGGCATGGACTAGTGAGAAAAGAAAATTGCACCTTGTAAATTAGTCTCAGCCAGTTATGCGCATGGTTTACTCCATGAAGCTACTGACTTAATAATTAAGCTAATGCTGAAAAAAAAGAAACATATTGTCGAAAATTTTCATTGAGCACTCATCACAGCATTTCGCAAGAATGTGTAAGAAGTCTATACATTCAAAAATCTGGCAGGTTGTATCAAACTACGTGACGCTTTGGCAGTTCACAATAATTCTGCATGGTGGGGGAGTCTAAAACTAGAGGGCATAGATTTAAGGTGAGAGGGGAGAGATACAAAAGGGTCCAGTGGGGCAATTTTTTAAAAAGGGTGCTGAGTGTCTGGAATGGGCTGCCAGAGGTATTGGTGGAGGTGAGTACCATTTCATCATTTAAGAAATATTTAGACAGGTACATAGATGGGATAGGTATGGAGGTATATGGACCAAACGCAGGCAAATGGGACTAGTTTAGGTTGTGAAAAACTGGATGATGTACAAGTTGAGCTGAAGGCCTGTTTTCATGCTGTAAACCTCTATGACTCCATGACTCTATGACTCTAAACAAGGGACAAACTGTACCTAATCATGCCTCGCTTACAAAGTTCACGACAGTGTCTAGTTAATTTTGCAAATTGACAACATTTGCTGGATAATCCTGAATGTGCAAGCAATTAAGCTGATAACCAATAGAGTTAGGATCACAGTGTGGTGCATTTGCTTGTACTGAAAGCTACTTATATTAATACACTAGGCCCTGTACTTTGTAGACAGAAAGAACATGGGCATGCACTGCTCCTGTTTCAACTGAACAAAATAGATAACAGATATTCAGTGGTTCATTTCTCAGGGCAATGCCTGCCTGATCACAATCAACTTGTTTGTCTTAAAATTTAAAAAAAGCCTGTCTGTTAACTGTCAGTCAACGTTAATAGGTGGATTTTCCACAGAAACACTCTCCAATCAGAGTCCACTTGCCAACCAATCAGCACTCTCCTCTTATGCAGTATCAGTGTTGGTTTTCCCTTGAATTTGTATTCTTGTGAAATGTCATGATGAGTGCAGAACGAAAAATTTGAAAAAGCGGTTTTTCAACACTACACATTTTGTACTACTAGATGACTATTTAAGCTAATAAATAAATTTTTATCATCAATTTAAAGTTCTTATCCGAATGCTCAAACCCTTCATGGGATTGGCTTTCCCCAGATTTGTCACTTCGTCTGGACAACACTCTGAAATCTCTTTGTTGCTCCATATTTCTATGACTTCCTCTGAACTATCATCAATTTCTGTACTTAAGCTAACTAGGTCCTAAGGTCTGAAGTTCCTCCTAAATGGGTCTGACCCACTCTCCCTCTTTACAGAGCTTTTTAAAACCTGTCTCTGGTGGACCTTTAACCTAACGTCTTCTCCTTGGTTTGATTTCAATTGTTTTTGTGTGGTTACACTCCTTTGAAATGCTTTGGGCCATTTTACTAATTAATGGTGCCAAATAAATGCAAGTTATTCTTATCATCAAATTTTATCTTTGGTTGTGAAAGCAAGTGAGTTTTTTTCCTTTTCGATTTATTTTTTAGGGATTCTTTATACTTACCCATTGTCAGAAGAAACTTGGCATACACACCAGTTTGCTTTTATAAAGGTAAACGAAAAGACTGGCTCAGAATTTGTCAATGATGAATGACCATCACTTTCACTTGTTCACAGGCTTTCTATGGGCTTTTGCCCTGGAACTTGCAATGTTTAGGAACCTGAGGCAGTGCACTGTGCTCTACGGAAGAAATGGGATCTGAACAATCAACTATGTGTACTTCATTACATTGGAGAATTCTTACCGAGGTTACACAGAATCTGTTCCAGCGAGTGTAAGTTAGGTCTCAGTGTTAAATCATGTACTGAAAGTGAAATCAACAAAAGGAAAGGAAAATGAGATTAGGAGACAGAAAGGAAGTGTAAGATAAAACCTTCTTTTCAATCTCCAAAAACAAAGCCTGAAACCAATGAAACTTCACTCCTTGCAAAAGTTAATTTTCAGTATCCAAGAGATTTTTTTGTTGCTGGTTAAGACTTATTATGAAGTTAAACATTCACTTATATTTGAATGGACAAACCCTAACATTTTTTGGTGAGATCAGTGCGTATCTAACACATCCTCCTGAATTTGAATGCATGGTCACATGGTGAGATGACAGAGTCAGCCTTCCATCTTTTGAGATGATGGTTTGTGGTTTGAGGTCAATTCTGTTAAACATTCAGTGCTCACTGTGGCTCAGGAGGCTCGCTCTGGCTGAGCAAACACTGCTGCATATAAGGAAGGTAAATGCAGTGGACAGAGAAGGTGTAGGGTTCTCTAAGCACTGTTTACTCTGAGCCCTCTTCTCAGTAAATTGAACTTTGCATTTCTACTTATCTTTTCCAATGTCCCTCCGAGTTGTCAGCTTCCAAAGGTCTTGACTATTGATGACTGCCTTCCAGTTGTCAATGTCGATGCCTGCCATCTTCATTTCTTCATTTCGCACTTGTAAGTATCCTTATCATGGGTATCTGGATGTCCAGTCATTTCTCAGCAAGATGGTGCTATAGCAGAGCTTCCGCCAAGGAGTAGCATATCTTAAACAGAAACTTCCTGATTGATGTGTTTAACTGCACAAGAGTGTATAATTTAAGTTGCTTTCCACCTTACTCCTTAGTAAAGGCAAGTGCTGATAGCAAACCACATAAATATGACAGGACTGACTGATCAAATATAATCCCTTGAATTGATTCAGATGACATAAACCACATATCAAAATATTTTAAAGTACACTGTCAAAGCTGCAGATTTTAAAATCTTTTTACATATTTTCTCAAATGTATATCTGCACTTTTTATTTCTTTACGAGACTAGTGCATCGCTGGCTGGCCAGCACTTTTTGCCCTTGCCTAGTTGCACTTGAGAAGGTGGTAGTGAGCTGCCTTCTTGAAACACTGCAGTCCATTTGCTGTGGGTTGACCCACAATGGCTTTAGGGACAGAATTCCAGGATTTTGACTGAACATCAATGAAAGAACAGTGATATATTTCCAAGTCAGGATGGTGAGTGGCTCAGAAGCCAATTTTCAGATGGTGATGTTCCGATGTAACTACTCCCCTTGCCCTTCTAGACGGAAGTGGTCGTGGGTTTGGAAGGCGCAGTGTATGGATCTTTGGTGAATTTTTGCAGTGCACCTTGTAGATGGCACACACTGTTACTACAGATTAATGGTGTTGGAGAGTGTGAATGTTTGTGATGCAGTGCCAATTAACCAGGTTGCTATTCCTGTTTGGTGTCAAGCTTCTTGAGTGTTGTTGGAGCTGCACCCATCCAGGCAAGTAGGGAGTATTCCATCATACTCCTGACTTGTGCCTTGTAGATGGTGGACAGGCTTTGGGGAGTCAGGAGGTGAGTTACTGGCCGCCGTATTCCTAGCTTCCGTCCTGCTCTTGTAGCCACGGTTTTTATATGGTGAGTCCAGTTGAGTTTCTGATCAATGATAACCCCCAGGGTGTTGATAGTGGGGGATTCAGTGATGGTAACACCATTGAATGTCAAGGGATGGTGTTTAGATTATCTCTATTTGGTGATGGTCATAGTATGGCATTTGTGTGGCACGAATGTCACTTTCCAATTGTTAGCCCAAGCCTGGATATTGTTCAGAACTTGATGTATTTGAACTTGGACTGCTCCAGTATCTGAGGAGTCATGAATGGTGCTGAATATTGTCCAATAACTGGGGAACATCCAAAATGATATAGGGACAGTCATTGATGAAGCAGCTGAAGGTAGTTGGGCTGAAGACACTTCCCTGAAGAACTCATACAGAGATGTGCTGGAGCTAAGGTGACTGACCTCCAACAACCATAACATCTTCCTCTGTGCCAGGTATGTCCCCAATTAGTGGAAATATTCCACCCCACACCGCACCCACCCCCCCCCCCACCCCGATTCTCATTGATTCCAGTTTTGCTATTGTGAACAAGTATGATGTATTAATAATAGTCATTAATTTTATCGATATATTATGACACTGCCAGTTTGTCACTCAGCCTTATTGATCTGTAGCTTTTTTCCATTCATGAAGATCCTGTTTCACACTGGGCTATGCAAACACAGACTATTTAGCCTCGATGTCATTTTCCATCATTTAAGTAGAATTGTACTTTGATTCCATTTGCCTGGCTTTGATCATTAACATCCTTACCCAGTTAAAAAAAAATCTCAGATCTAAAAATTCTAATTGACTCAGCACTGTACAATCTTTTGAGGAAGAAGGTTCCAGATTTTGACTACCTTCTTCAGGAAAAGTTCTTCTTTTTCTGAGAATCTAGGTTCTCGGTTTAAGATTGGCTCCCAATTTTCTGAATTCTTCCAAAGTAACTCTAATTTTCCTCTTGAATCCCTTCATCTTAGCTGCATGTTATCCTTTGAGCACATTATCCTGGTGGCTGTTCCTCATTCATAAATTGGTATATAGCATTGGCAAGTTATTGTCCCATGAGGGGAATCACAGAAACGTCCACACATGCTATTTTGAGCTGGAGTTAATAGATGATGATTGGGGATGGGAACCATCTCTGACCAATCTGTGGGAGCAAAGCAGCAAATGAGCAGGAAATTAAGGAGGGGGGTTTTGATCTTTTTCTGAATTGGGGCTTAGAGCTGTTAATTATGGGGTTTTATCTGTGGATGATATTTTTGCTTTTTAGGTGATGTATGGCTTCATTTATTGAATATATAGGATAAGGCAGTTGAAGAGCTGGAGCCAGTGGGAAGTGTGAGGGGGTGGGGGGTCGACAGTGAATTCTGAAATTTTGTGCCTAGAAATTTGTATTTCTGCTTCATCAACTAAAATTGCCCGTTCAGCAATTGTCCCAATTTCAGTTAAATGTGACCGTATAGTAGGCTCAAAAACCTGATGGCTTCATTCCCCAAGCTAATCCAGCAACTTGCTCTCACTGCATTAATTTATCTTGTTGACAGAAAAATGGTAACATAGAGACTCAGGGAAGGAATAGGCTATTCAGATCTTAGAGCCTGCTCTGCCACTCAATATGATCATGGCTGATTCTCTCCCTCAATGCCATATACCCGCTTTCTCATCACACCTCTTGATGTGTTTAATATCCAAAGATATATTTCTATCTCTTTCTTGAATATACTCAGTGACTTGACCTCCATAACCTTCTGTGGTGGAGAATTCATAGGTTGGCCATCCATTGAGTGGAGAAATGTTTTCTCATCTCAGTCCCAAATGACCACATCATATCTGAGACCATGACCCCTGGTTGTAGATTCCCCAAACGGGGAGAACATCCTCCTTCCATCTAGTATGTCCAGCCCTATTATAATTTTATACGTTTCAATCAGATCCCTTGTTATTCTTCTGATGCACAACTTTATCAGTCCCAGCAGCTATATAGTTTGATCCAAGCTCCATTCTCTCCTTAGTCACCTTTCTGACAATTTCCCCAGATTCTCTACCGACCAACAACACCTTCTCCATTCCCCATGTGCTTAAACAACCCCTCTACACAGGGGAGGGAAATCTGCTTTCACTTATTGCAATGTGCCGTCCTGCTGTTGGTCTGATTGGTCTGATGCAATCTACCAATACCATCCAAGCAGACTCTCTCAAATTGTTCCTGTGTGTCTCTAATCTTGTAGTTGCCCACATCCTGATTTTTCTCATCCTCTTCCACCCTCCCCAGCCCCTATTATCCAACCTGCCACTCCTTCTTCCTGTTCCGTCTTCATTCCCTCCATCTGGATTCAGTTAACTCCATGCCTAACCTTAATATTAATGTTGATTTTCTTGGTGCAAAGCCAAGGTTTGGTTAGTTGAATGTGTCAGATACATCTGGCAGGGACACCAGGAGAAAATGCAGACAAATCAAACTGCATTCATTAAACTCCTTTTCTTTCAGGGTCTTGCCTGGCGTCTGCTGAAACCTGGTGGCATTCTTACATATTGCAACTTAACCTCGTGGGGCGAACTGTTGAAGGGAAAGTATATTGACATTGGAAAGTCATTCCAGGTAGGAATAGAACAAACACCCATTATGTGAAGCCACCATGCAATATAGGAAAGATCCATTTGGAAACTGCCAACATGCACAGTATGCTCCAAAAAGCTTACACTTCTCAGTGATCCTAAAAATATCGTAATCTTACTGCTGCGTATTGATTAAAAATCATTGAACGGCCATTAGACTTAGTTACTGCTTCCAGAATTCAATTGTGTTTTTAAAAGAAGAATTCCTTTAGAATGCAAATTAACCAGAAATGATGGGAGAAAGGATTTGAAGAAAATACAGTTGCCTTTCACATCCTCAGGAGTGAACACCCCATTAATTGCTCAACTGTTAGTGGATTACTTTTTGAAAGGCCAACATTATTGTTCCATGAACAAAAATGGCAGACAATTTGCACACAGCAAGGTTTGATAATCACCAAAGAATGACCTGATAATGTGTTTTCATGATGGGTGAAGGATAGGTTGACCAGGACAGCCTAGGCTCACTGAACAGCAATGCAGCACTCCCAAGTGATGGGGTTGATGGTGTGCTTAAATCCTGTAGTGAGGCTGCAAAGCATCTGATTCAGTGATCAGAATGGCACTTAGAGGGCATACTTCAAATCATTCAAAACCTCTTCCACACTAAGGTTTATATTTGTGGGCACAAAAACATTCTATGGCACTTAAAAATATTTCAAAGAGGAAGAATGGGAAGCTATTTATGCCTTTTATTTTGGATTATTTAGGCAGTATGGATCCAATTTCCAGTGACAATGGACCCCAAGGGTTGTTGTGACACAGCGGTAGTGTCCCTACCTCTGGGTCAGAAGGCCTGGGAATAAGCTCCACTTGCTCCATCAATATGTCTGCATGTGCCACATGCCTTCTTTATCTAGGGCTCTTGTGGTGCAATGGTAGTGACCCTACCGCTCAGCGCAGGTTCAAGTCCCACCTGTTGCAGAGGTGGTAATATCAATTAAGATCAAATTGGCAAACTCACTTCAATCAAAGGACATTCAGTGGTGGCAGGATAGAGGAAGATTCAATTTACAGTCAAGACTTTACCTGATGGTGACAGCCAGACCTTGAGATGGAAAATGTTTAGTTTCCCTGTCCCTCACCTTGATGCGCATCTAAAATATTTAGGGCTTTGCACGTCAAAACTGTTTTTGTCTGTGTAAATAAGGATAACAGCTTGAATTTCCAGGATATACAGGACTGTGTGATTATTTCACATTTCCCATGGAGCTTTCATTACTAACCCATCCAGGAAATACAAGTGCCTCATTTGGTGGAGGCTGGTTTCAAGGAGAACATTCAGACCAGTGTGATGGATACCCCAGCCCCCACCACCACCAAAGACTGCCGATTCTACACTTTTCATAAGATGATCACACCAACAATAACTAAACAGTAACCGTCACTTTAATCCTAAAATGAATAATAAAGGGCTGCCTTGTATCAGATTCAATAGAGTTTTCTTTGGAATACACTAAAAAAAAACTGCTTATATAATGACTTGATGCATTACTATTGAAGGCAACAAGCCAGTCGGCATTTGTACAGTACTTGTAACAATTTTAAAATGCATCTTACCACAATTGTTTTTCACTCCTGAACTCACTCTCATCAAATACCTAAAACATTTTAATTTAAGTTGGTGCAGAAATACTGTGGAACCATGTAATAGAGATGAATAGTGGGGTTATACTGCATTTGGTGATAAATTAAAAACAGGCTGTCTCCTGAAAGACATCTCATATTTTCTGGCTATCTGGTATTTTTAAACATTTCTTTGCATCAGTGGCAAAGACTAGGATCTAATTCCCAACCCGGAGTGGCTTGTTCAGGCACTGCGGAAGATGGAATTGAGAGTTAACTATATTGTTGTGGATCTGGATTTATGTGTAAGTCAGACCAGGTAAAGATGGCAGATTTCATTCCCTGAAAGGCATCAATGATGCTAGATGGGTTTTTACAACAAGCTATGGTGGCTTCACGGTTATTATTACTGACAGTGGCTTTCAATTCTACATTTATTAATTTAATATAAATTCCACCAGTAGCCATAGTGGGCTTTGAACGCTCATCTCCTGAGCATTAACTTGGCCTTGATATTACAAGGAGGATGACTTTACCTGCAGACAACCATTTTCCTAAGTCTTCATGTTGCACCGATGTGCACTCAAAACTGCTGTATTATGGATTTACAAGTGGTATGTAATTTGGCAGAATTCATCTAAAAATGTTGTTCTTCTCACAATTAGGGAGACATTTGGTTTCCTAGTATCCATTGGAAAACTAAGATGAATCAATACAGTGTTGGGTAAAGATGTTTGAAGCATTGTATATTTTGGGAGAAGTGTGAATAAAAATCTAGTCATAAGTCTCAGAGATAGTGGGAACTACAGATATTGGAGAATCTGAGATAACAAGATGCAGAGCTGAATGAACACAACAGGCCAAGCAGCGTCCTCCTGCTCCTCTGATGCTGCTTGGCCTGCTGTGTTCATCTAGCTCTACACCTTGTTATCTCTTAATCATAAGTCTGCTGTGGTTAGAATAAAGAAAGAATAATACAAAGAATAATACAACTCAGGAAGAGGCCCCTCAGCCCACCAAACCTGCACTGACACATTTTGCCCTGTCTTCACTTACAGGATTCATATCCCTCTATTCCTTTTCTATTCATTTATTCGTCAAGGTGTTTCTTGAATGTTGCTATTGTGTCTGCTTCCACCACATCCTCTAGTAGCACATTCCAGGCACTCACCACCCTTTGTGTGAAAAACTTGCCTCGCAAGTTTCTTTTAAACATCCCCTCCTCCTGCACTTTGAACCTATGTCCCCTAGTAAATGACACCTCCACCTGGGAAAAAGCCTCATACTTTCCACTCTATCCATGCCATTCACAATCTTATAAACTTCTTTCAGATCACCCCTCAAACTCCTGGATTCCAGCGAAAATAAACCCAGTCTATCCAAGATAACAAGGTGTAGAGCTGGATGAACACAGCAGGCCAAGCAGCATCAGAGGAACAGAAAAGCTGACGTTTCGGGCCTAGACCCTTCTTCAGAAATGGGGGAGGGGAAGGGGATTCTGAAATAAATAGAGAGAGAAGGGGAGGTGGATGGAAGATGGATAAAGGAGCAGATAGGTGGAGAGAAGAGAGACAGGTCAAGGAGGCGGGGATGGAGCCAGTAAAGGTGAGTGTAGGTGGGGAGTTAGGGAGGAGATAGGTCAGTCCAGGGAGGATGGACAGGTCAAGGAGGCGGGGATAAGACTGGTAGATAGGAGGTGGGGGTGGGGCTTGAGGTGGGAGAAAAAACGGACAGGTCAGGGAGGAGGGGACGAGCTGGACTGGTTTTGGGATGCGGTAGAGGATGGGGAGATTTTGAAGCTTGTGAAGTCCACATTGATACCATTGGGCTGCAGGGTTCCCAAGCGAAATATGAGGTGCTGTTCCTGCAACCTTCAGGTGGCATCGTTCTGGCACTGCAGGAGGCCCAGGATAGACATGTCGTCCAAGGAGTGGGAGGGGGAGTTGAAGTGGTTCACGACTGGGAGGTGCAGTTGTTTAGTGCGAACCGAGTGTTGGTGTTCCACAAAGCGGTCCCCAAGCCTCCGCTTGGTTTCCCTGATGTAGAAGAGGCCACATCGGGAACAGTGGATACAGTATACCACATTAGCAGATGTGCAGGTGAACATCTGTTTAATGTGGAAGGTTTTCTTGGGGCCTGGGATGGGGGTGAGGGGGGAGGTGTAGGGGCAGGTGTAGCATTTCCTGCAGTTGCAGCGAAAAGTGCCAGGGGTGGTGGAGGTAGTGGGGAGTGTGGAGTGGATAAGGGAGTCACGGAGAGAGCGATCCCTCCGGAAGGTAGATAAGGGTGGGGAGAGAAAAATGTCCTTGGTAGTGGGGTCAGATTGCAGGTGGCGGAAGTGGTGGAGGATGATGCGTTGAATCCGGACGTTGGTGGGGTGGTATGTGAGGACGAGGGGGATTCTGATTTTGTTGTTATTGCAGGGAGGGGGTGTGAGGGATGAGTTGTAGGAAATGCGAGAGATGCGGTTGAGGGCGTTTTTGACCAGTGTTGAGGGGAAGTTGCGGTCCTTGACAAACGAGGACATCTGGGATATCTGGGAGTGGAATGCCTCATCTCGGGAGCAAATGTGGTGGAGGCGAAGGATTTGGGAATAGGGGATGGCATTCTTGCAGGAAAGTAGGAGAAAGGAGGTGTATTCTAAGTAGCTGTGGGAGTCAGTAGGCTTGAAATAGAGATAGTAGGAACTGCAGATGCTGGAGAATCTGAGATAATAAAGTGTAGAGCTGGATGAACACAGCAGGCCAAGCAGCATCAGAGG